GGCAATGGTTATTGATTTATTGTCTGTCAGCTCCAAAATCATTCTTTTAAAGTACTCTTTGAAAACTGATCTGGGACCTTTAAATTATTTTGTGTGATGGCACAAATGTTTTCAGTAAGGGTGCTGGAAAGACGCTGCAGGAGGAAAAAGGTTGCTTACACCAACATATTTTCCCCAATTATCCATCTCCCATCTACCTGCCCTCTGCTCCGACTCACTGTTTATGAAAGGTCAGAGAGCAGAAAAGAACTAGATTATTTATGGAATCTACAAAACAAAGAAAATATTATGCTGCTCAGTCTTTTCTAAAAATAGAAAAATTACTATCCATTACTTTGTCATTAGGAAATAGAAAGACCCAGAATTCTCTAAGAGAATATCCAAATGAAAATTTTAAGAACAGTAACTGGTTAATTAAAATTAATTACAGGTCTAAATTTCAAACTTTGTAACTGATGAATATGATAGTCTCCTGATTACAGGCAAAACTAAGAGGAAAATGTGATCAAAATTTTCTTACTATGGTGAATTTTTATTCCTCCATGCAAATTTTGTCAACAAAAACAATTATTAACACCCAAGATGGGAAAGGTAGAACATATTCAGCTCCTCTGAGTCTAATCATAAAAGCATAATTTTATTATTTTACTGCAAGCAATGAACTCTATGCATTTCAGAATATACATATAAAATGTAAATATAAGAATGCATTCCAAAGCTAACTATACACAATATATTTTCTCCACTTGTTAGACAGTCTACATAGTTTTTAAAGCAAACAATTATATGGGAAGAAGAAGACAAGCTCACTCACTTAAGGTCTTTAAGGACCTAATGTTGTATGCTGCCATTGTCCTTTATAATCTGTTTTTATTTTATACAAAAGCTGCAATTTCACATAGAAATAGTTACTATAAACAAATAAATTCACTATGCTGTAGACAGTCTTAGTCTTCCAACTGGGTGATGCTGATAACACTTTAGAATATAACCATAAAGACAAAATTCCATTAGCAGGCAGTAGAACCTCTGTGTTGTCCTTTGTAGATAAAAATGGTACACTTACTATTAATCGATGTGTGGCTTCATTTAAGTTTTCAGTGATAGTGATCGTTTTGCATTAAGCCCTGACTAAGCTAGCCCTAAAAGCAACAGAATCTTCTGAAATATGGCTTGTTGGGGTTAAGAATGCAATTTGTGGTAAATCTAGTTGACCCTTATAAGGCTCATTAACTGATGTTCTAAGGAAATGATTCACTGACCACAGACAAAACGGAGCCAATAATCTTCATTGAGTGTTGTTTCACAGCATATGAACATATGCATCCCTTAAGCCTTTGACAGATACATTATCTAGTTGGACACTGCCCTGAGTCAACATATTAGCTATAGAATTTACATGTATCTGAACTATCAGCAATTCTCTATACCAGATGAATGAATCAAGCATGAACAGTGAAATCTGCTATATGATGAACAAATCTAAAACTTTAAATCCAGAAGAGAACAAAACCACACAAACACTGACAGTCATCATCAGTTAATTATACCACATTTCTCAGAATGCATTAAAATGTACTTTTCTAGGGATCTTCCATACTCATGTATAATGCCCTTAAAGCTACAATGAGTGCAGAGGCTAAGAGAGGATAATTAACCCACAGAACTCAGAATGATGATTACCTGGTAATCTGGTTTTGTAAAATAATCCAAAGATGATATATGGTCCAGAAAGATGCTGAATTCTGGAGGGAGATGTTTCAACATGAGCCTATGGTCATATCTCTCCTTAATAGAGCCTACTTGCTCCTAGGAAGTAAAGAGAAAAGGAACCAAAGTCAATTTCTCTTGCCATCTATACATTAAAAACCCCTCAGTAACAGTCTCAAGGGTATGTGCTGGGGAATGAGATAGTGATAATTAAGGATAAAGCAAGAACTGTGTTCTTACTAATAGTTTAATGCACAGTGCTTTAAAAGGGGCAGGGGGAGACTCTAATAACTGTGTTTAATGCACAGTACTTTTAAAGGGGGCAGGGAGGCTCTAATAACAAAGAGTTTTACATCAGTGAATTTATAGCTCCCCAAAAGAAAGAGTTGATCTTAAATCTGTCTTACATTTCTTTATCAACACAAGTTTATAGCTTTCAAATCAAACAAAATGTAACACGGCAATTCAAAACTAAAAGCTTACTTAGAACAACAACAAAACAAAACAGAGACCTAGTAAAAATAATGGCTAAGAAGGACTACTAGAAATCAAATCAGAAGTAATGAATGTACTTAAAATAGTATAATTCTCCATGTACACAGAATGATCATAACATTAATTAGATCTCCAATATTTGCTCATAGAGAGAAAAATATACATATTAGTCAATGTTAATTCTTACATGTACATAGATTCTCATTAAACGCTTGTTCAGAAGACATTTTTATTCTTTTCCCTACCAAAATTGACATTTCAATTTTCAAAATTACCTTGTCCTTTATTTTTCTCCAAGGCAGCTGACCAACCACAAACTCTACTAACATGTAGAATAAGGACCAGAGATCATCATGTCTTCCCATTTCCTTCACAAATAAATCAGAATTCAGTCACAGTACAGTATCACTTCCTATGAGGTCATTACATTGTCTAAGGCCTAAACATTTTGTTTCATCAAATTATCTAGTAAATATATCTATACATCTACATACCTATATAGCTCACAATATGGAAAAATAGATATGTTGAAAAACTTTGATACAAAGAACACCCAAAAGTCCAGAAATGCTAAAAATAATCTAACCAACAGTCCATTAGTTAATAAATGAGTTCATTAAAATATACGGGAAATCCTAAGGGGCAAAATATGAAGAGATTTGGAAAAAAGAGAACCAAGCTGGTGATAAAAGTTTTATCTTTGGTTGTTGCGAAGGCACATGCCATAGGTTTTATTAACTAGGATTTTATCAGCAGGAAGGGCACAGGCATGAAGGCATTGGGCCTATGCAGGATGAAAGTGGTAAGTGAGACACTCTTCCCCTCCCACCATAAAGCCAGGACCCTGAATGGTTTAATCCTCAGTGTAATATGTGGTAAGTAAATTAACCAAACCCATTGCGATCAAGTAGATTCCAACTCTTAGCACTATAGGACAGAGTAGAACTGCCCCAGGGGGTTTCCAAGGTAGAGAGTCCCGTATCATTCTCCTATGATGCTGCTAGTGGGTCTACACCACCAACCTTCTGGTCATTACATCACAAATTTTTTTTTGCAAAATTCAACCACTATTGAAAGGACAAAATGAGTAGATAAAAAAAAAAAATAGTCCTCAGAATTTATACCACCTGTGTGGTCTGGGAAACCAAGCTCATAAATTAATTTCAAGTGCTTTTTGGGTGATCATGTCATGCATGACATGTATGGGCAAAAGCAAATGAAAAACTTCCTCTTGACATAAATGCATCCTTAAATCCAGGTCTCATAGGAGTCCTACAGATAAAGTACCACCAAAAATAAACTCATTGTTCAAGATTATAAAATATATTTGGAAGCTGGCTACCATAAGCTAAAGTCAGGAGAAACTATAAAGAGTAGAATTAGATGTATGAAAGCTTTAGAAATGGAATTACAGGACACATAATATGAAACAAGAATGTTTAAAATGTTTAAATAAAAAATGAAATCAAAATTATGAGAAAGAAATCATATTCCATCAAAACAAAGACCAATTAGATTTGAAAAAGGACCAAAAAGAACATCTAGAAATAAAAAACACAGCTACAGAAAGGAAAAACTCAATGGATAGGTTAAAGAACTAATCAAATGGAGCAGAAAAGGAATGAATAAACTAGAAAACAAACCTGAAGTAATTATCTAAAATGAAGCATAGAGACAGAGTTAGAAAATCTTGAAGTGAATTTAAAAGACATGAGGACAGAATAAAAAGGTGTAACATACAATTTGGAATTTTGGAAAAAAGAGTATATAGAGAAAGAGGAAGGGGCAATGTTTAAAGAAGTCATGTCTGAGAATCTTCCAGAAATGATGAAAGGCATGAACAATCAGATTTAGGAAGCATTAAAAAAAAAAAAAAAAAAACACAGAATATCAATTTGGAAAAAAGAGTATATAGAGAAAGAGGAAGGGGCAATGTTTAAAGAAGTCATGTCTGAGAATCTTCCAGAAATGATGAAAGGCATGAACAATCAGATTTAGGAAGCATTAAAAAAAAAAAAAAAAACCCACACAGAATCAATATAAAGAAATTCGTATCTAGACACATATGAGTATATCTGCAAGACATCAGAGACAAAGAAATGACTTTAAAAGCACCCAAAGAAAAAGGGCAAATTAAATACAAAGGAACATTAAATAGACAAAAATCTCCCTAACAACTGTAGAAAAAGAAGAAAGTAAATTTCTTCAAAGTACTGAGATTAATATTAACACATGATTAAAATGCTGGACAACAAGGAGACAGAGTGAACAAAGCTTAAGTGTTTTGATAAATCCTTGTATTACTTGGGAATTATTCATGTTAAAATTTTAATAGTATCAAAAAAGAATAGAAATGGAGTATGTTATTTTTTTTGTTGTTGTTTGCCGTTGAGTTGGACCTGACTCATAGCAACCCCTCATTGGGTTTTCGAGACAGTATCACTACAGAAGTAGATTGCCCAACCTTCCTTCTGAGGAGTGGCTAGTGGTTTGAACCACCAGCCTTCTGGTTAGCAGTCAAGTCATCAAATCAGGGTTGAGGAGTATGAGAGAAAGCAGCATATTAGAATTATCTGGGAAATCTTTTTAAATTAGACAAGTACCTCTAGAAGTTCCACTAGTTGCACTCCTGTGGTACCACATAAAGTGACAATCATTGTTGTGAAACTGTTACTGTGTAATGAGTCCTATCCTTCAGGTGTGGTGGGAATAGAAAAGAAGATTAAGAGCCAGTAGTCTACACTATCAAATTCATTTACCAAAGTTAGATGAATAACATAAGTTATAACAGATTAAAAGAATAACTGTTACTGCACAGTATACTGGGAGAGGCTTTTAGAAGAAATCACCACCCTTTAAATAAATTTTTTGGGAAAAAAAGTGTATAATCTTTTTATTAGCTATTTTGGAAATGCTTATATACTTCCGTAGTGATACTGCCTCGGAAACCCAAGGAGGGGTCGCTATGAGTCGGGGCTGACTCGACAGCATATAACAACAACGACAACATATAGATATTATGGTCTCTGAAAATTTTTATGATTATCTCAAAATATATATTCTATACTTTATACCCACTAGGATGGCTATTATCAGAAAAAATAGTAAGTATTGGCAAGGATATGGAGAAACTGGAGCCCTCATCCACTGCTGGTGGGATGTAAAATGGCACAGCCACTGTGCAAAACAGTTTGGAAGTTCCTCAAAAAGTTAAACATAGATTATCATATGACCCAGCAATTCCACTCCTAAGTATATACCAAAAATACTTGAAACAGGGGCTCAAACAGATATTTGTACACCAATGATCACAGCAGCATTATTCACAGTAGCCAAAAGGCAGAAACAACCCAAGTGTTCATCAACAAATGAATGGATAAACAGAATGTGGTATATACACATAATGGAGTAGTACTCAGCCATGAAGAAATGGAGTTCTGATACAAGGTACAACATGGCTGAGCCTTGAAAACATTACGCTATGTGAAATAAGTCAGATACAACAGGAGAAATATTATATAATCCCACTTATATAAGATATTTAGAATAAATCCACTGCTGCCGAGTCGGATCCAACTCATAGCAACCTCTCCTTTGGTTTCCAAGGCGGCATCACTACAGAAGTAGATTGCCCAACCTTCCTTCTAAGGAGTGGCTGGTGGGTTTGAACCTCCTCCAGTCCTCTGGTTAGCAGTCAATTGCCTTAGGCACTATGCCATAGGGAAAGTTTATTAGTAGTTACCAGAGATGGGGAGTTTTTGCTTAAGGAGTACTGAGTTTCTGTTTAGGGGATGAAAACATGTGGAAATAGATAGTGGTGATGGTTATACAACAACATGGTGAGCATAATTATTATCATTGAATAAGACACTTAAAAATGGTTAAAATGGCAAATGTTTTGTTATATATATATATTTTTTATTGTGGCAAATATGTAATAAAACATTTGCCATTTCAACATTCTTCACATATACAATTCAGTGACATTGTTTCAACACATTGTGCAACAACATGTAGTGCATCATCACTGTTTCCAAATACTTCCAGCACCTTTATCAGAAACTCAGAGTGCCTTAAGTTGTTAAATCCCCATTTCCCCTCCCACCTGGCCCTGGTAACCTCTAATAACCTTTGGTCTCTACACATTTGCCTATTCTAGATATTTCATATACTGAAGTTTTCAAATATAACAAGCCCACATAAATAATGCACACATGCACACAATGCGCATAACACACACAGGAGGTTAATATACGAGAGGATCACATGGTTTGCGCACACACACACATACAAAATATAGCATGTGTGCTATCTGCATAAAAATACAGTAAGTGGAAACATACAGTATTTGTTTTTTGTGATTGACTTATTTCACTCAGCATTGCTGTTTTTAAGGTTCATCCATGTTATATACATTTTACCACAATAAAATTTTTTAAAAAACGTCCTATTTCAAAGATGCCAATGTTGACATAATTCTGTAACAGAATTAATGTGAAAGCCTAGTCTCTAAAAGTTTGTGTAAGGGTCTATTTGGAAAAGAGGGATACTTTTTTTTTTCCCAAAAACAGAATAATTTACTAGAGGTTATAAAATAATGTAACAATGAATCAAATCAAATGAGTTAAAACGCTTGGCAGATTACACTGCAACTAATGTCACAAAACAAAATGTATATAAATTGTTGAGTGGGAAACTAATTTGCTGTGTAAACATTCACCCAAACCACAATAAACTGTTTTGTTTGTTTGTTTTAAATGCTTGGTAGAGCGCTACACATTGATTAAAAAAAATAATTCTTTTCCTATTTATAATTTGTAATCACATCATAATAAACTGAATTAACTGGCACATAATTTATAAGACCACAGCATAATTTTCCTAATATATTTAGTACTGGTCAAATTATCACTAACAACAATAGTTACACACATAAAAACCAGTGGTTACTAGAGGTTACCAGTGGTTGGAGGAGGGAAGCAGGAGAGAGAATCATTCTACAAGAAATACAGAATGTTCTTAGTATTGGGAATAAACTGGCATGGACTAAATGTAATAGTTATACAATGTGACTACTGCAATCAATATCACTAAGTTATACACCATAAAAAATGTTAAAAGGGAGTCAAAATGACAAAGTATTACATTTAATTTTACAACAAAAATAGCAGCAAAAAGGCTGCAGCTGTTGCTAATACTTAGCTACAAAAACACTTTAAAGGATTAGTTTTCTTGGCTCAAGGGTTTGGGGTTGTGATCTTGTGAGGCCGTCCAGTGAACTGACCTAATATTATCATTATTATTTTTAAGTAATATTTTATTGTGTTTTCCCAATAAATTAGATTCTCAACAATTTATATGCAAAATGTTCATCACAACTGTGGTTTCCAGCCAAACAAAGTACAGGCATGTGAGTTAAACATTTACCTCAAGTAGACACACGCCCTGGAGAGAACAATCATGGGAGAAGGAAGGGCTGCTTATGCACAGGGAGATAGCTCAGGGTGCAGAAGAGTATGAAGGGATGGACACTGGGAGGAGGTAACTATGGGGAGGAAGTGGGAGGGGAGCTGCTGCATTGTAAATTTTGGTCAATGACATGAGACAAAGTATACGTGAACTGCTGTATGAAAAGTGAATTTACTCTGTAAATCTTCACCCAAATCCTAATTAAAAAAAAAAAAAAAAATGTTCAGTGACACTGGTTACATTTTTCACAATGTGTTAGTGTTGTCATTACTTCCATCTGGTTGGTCCATTCCCAATAATCTAGTTTCCTTGCCCCCTTGCCTTTTCATAACTTTGCTTTAGAATAATTGTTGACCATTTGGTTTCATACAGATGATTTTTTAAAAGAGTGCAGTACTCAGTGGTGACATAGTGCCTAAGGCATTTGACTGCTAACCAGGAGACTGGTGGTTCAAACCCACCAGCCACTCCTCAGAAGGAAGATTGGGCAATCTACTTCCATACAGAATCCCAAGGAGGGGTCACTATGAGTTGAATTGATTTGATGGCGGTGAGTTTTTGCACTATTCATAGGTGACAGTCTTTATGGCCTAATATTATTTTAAGAGTTTCTGCTCTTCCTTCTAGTTTAGACCTGGGGTCTTAAAAGCTTGTGAGCAACCATCCAAGATACATCAATTGGTTTTTAATCACCTGGAGCCACAAAAGAGGACAGAGGTCCAGAAATTGGAGAAATAAATAGTTTGTAGGTCTAATTGCCTCCATAAACTACTACCCTCTTTTCCCTAAGACCAGAAGAAATGAATGGTGCCTGGCTAGTATTACTTAACATTTTGATCAGGGACCCAACAGATGGATCTTGATCAAAAGGAGGAAAATTCAGAACTGGAACTTCAAATTCTTATTGGAAATCAAACTTACTACTGAGTATGGAGGGATCCCTGCATTTATTGCCTGGAAACAACTTTTGAACCTTGAGCTGAAACTATCCCATGAAGTCATCTTTAAAGTAAACAATAATTTAGCTCAATAAATAATGTCTGTCTTGAACATTATACCCTACTGAAGGATTACCTATATGAGATTGAAATGAAAAGTAACTCTAAAGCACAGATGAGAATTTTAAGGAGCAGAGAGTATATGGTAGTGGAGCAATACAGGCAGAGATAGTGAGAATGGTGACACACTATGAAAAATATAACCACTGCCAATAAACTGTAATGTAAAAATTGTTGAACAGAGGTATGTTTTGTTGTGTATATTTTCACAAAAAAATATCATAAAAGCAATTTTTGGCAACTGCCTGGTATTGGTTCAATGACAGATACATAGACCAATGGAATAGAATTGAGAACCCAGGTATAGATCCATCAACCTATAGTCAGCTGATCTTTGACAAAGGCCCCAAATCCATTAAGTGGGGAAGAGAATGTTTGTTTAATAAATGGTGCTGGCAAAACTGGAGATCCATTTGCAGAAAAATGAAACAAGATCTGTACCTCACACCACACACAAAAACAAACTCCAGATGGATCAAAGACTTAAATGTGAAACCTAGAACTATACAGTTTCTCAAGGAAAATTTAGGCTCAAACTTAAGGGCCCTAATATTTGGTATAAATAGACTACCAAGCATAATTCAAAATGCACCAACAGCAGAAGAGAAGCCAGATGATTGGGACCTTCTAAAAATTAAATGTTTATGTGCTTCCAAAGACTTCTCCAAAAGAGTCAAAAGAGAACCTACAGATTGGGAAAAAATATTTGGTAAGAACATATCTGACAAGGGACTTATCTCTAGAATTTATAGAACACTCCAACACCTCAATAACAAAAAGACAAACAATCCAATTAAAAAATGGGCAGAAGACATGAACAGACACTTCACCAAGGAGGATATTCAAGCAGCCAACAAACATATGAAGAAATGCTCACGATCATTAGCTATTAGAGAGATGCAAATCAAAACAACAATGAGATACCATCTTGCTCCAGCACTAGTAGCAAAGTTCAACAAGACAGAAAATAACAAATGCTGGCGAGGTTGTGGAGAGATTGGGACTCTCATACACTGCTGGTGGGACTGTAAAATGGTACAACCATTGTGGAAAGCAGTATGGCGATTCCTTCAAAAGTTGGAAATACAAATACCATTTGACCCAGCCATCCCATTACTAGGTATATACCCTAAAGAAGTGAGAGCCATAACAAGAACAGATATATGCACGCCGATGTTCATCGCAGCACTATTTACAATAGCCAAAACTTGGAAACAACCTAGATGTCCAACAACTGAGGAATGGATAACCAAACTTTGGTACATTCACACAATGGAATACTATGCAACGCTAAAGAATAATGTAGAATCTGCAAAACACCGCATAACGTGGATGAACTTGGAGGACATTATGCTGAGCGAAATAAGTCAGTCACAAAAGGACAAATATTGTATTAGTCCATTATTGTAAAAGTTAAGGAAATGTTTATATATTGGAGGACATTTTCTTTGTTGGTTACCAGGGGTGGGAGGGAAGGGGAGGGAATGCTGTTAGATAGATAGAGATAAATATTGATTTGGGTGAAGAGAAGGGCAATGTACCAAATGTGAGTGACCAATATGGCAGCATTGAGGATGAGAAAGACAGAGAGAGTTACATGGGCAGTACAAACAACAAATATGAACCCCTTTGTAAATACAATACTGAGTTGTTAATGAAAGCAAACATGGGTATAGGGACGGATAGATGGGTGAACAAGCTAAACAATTATGTATGTCTAAATGGAGAGTGTATCCAAGATCATATACAGGATTGGCAGACAATGGGCCTCTCGAAGAGTATGAAGGGATGGACACTGGGAGGAGGTAACTATGGGGAGGAAGTGGGAGGGGAGCTGCTGCATTGTAAATTTTGGTCAATGACATGAGACAAAGTATACGTGAACTGCTGTATGAAAAGTGAATTTACTCTGTAAATCTTCACCCAAATCCTAAAAAAAAAAAAAGCAATTTTTGGCTTCATCAAACAGGAAGGTGGTGGTAAAAGATCAAGAAGAGATCCAATTTCATTTTCTATGCAGCTGCACATACTATTTACCCACTATGTGCCTTACTACAATTATTATCTCCTTTATCTTCATTCCTACCACAAGAACATGTGAATTAGGGCAACCATTACAATTACTGTTATAGCAATAAAGGGGATCCCTCCGCTCCTAAGTATTTGCTATGTCTGTATTCTCTACATGGAGAAGTCAATCTGATTCAAGTCATCAGCATGCTTATATAGAATCTTTGGTTCAAATACCTACCCTGTTCCGATGAGCATTGACTGATGCATAACGAACTGTCCCTCGAAAGCCTGCCACAGCTCGAGGCTACAACAAAACCAAGCAAAGAATAATAAAAAACATTATTTACTTAAATTTCTAACTTTCTATTACGAAATAATAGGGAGAATATCTCTGAATCTCATACCTTAACAAAACCAGATAACATTCTAGTTAATTTTGTTTCTATCCACATCTTAAAATAAAGTGACATGACATAGATACATAGTTCTATATATTAGAAAACATCAAGATACTTTCCTATACCCAGAATCATGCCAATCATCATAAAAACCAAACTCAACAGCCGTCGAGTCAGATCCTACTCACAGCAATCTCTCCTTGGGTTTCTAAGGCAGTATCACTATGGAAGTAGTTTGCCCAACCTTCCTTCCTAGGAGTGGCTGGTGGATTTGAACCGCCAGCCTTCTGGTTAGCAGTCAAATGCCTTTGGCAATCATTATAGCACATACATTAATATACAGATTTTGGTTACAGATAAGTATATCAGGACCATGAGGAATCAACAAGTAACCTAAGATGCCAACCTCTTCATGCTTTGGCTATCTCATTCAAACTCAATTTAGAGTTGGTGAGAATTTGTATCCTTCCTATATATGGAATTCATATATTTACAAATTCATGTTATTAGATACTTTTATGTGTTAGATATTAGGAACAAATTCAAATGTGAATCTTCAGAGAGCTCAACTTAGAGTAAAGTCCAAACTCTCTATTCAGCCTACAAGATCTTCCATCTGCTTCCTACAACAATGAATTTACTGTGGTTTCTTCTATAACCAGTTAGGTTTTCACCTCAAGACTTTGCACTAGTTATTTCCTCCAGTTGGAATGCATCTCCATGCATGCCTCCAATGGTTAACTCTTTCACTCCATATTAAGGTCTCTTCTCAAATGTCACTTCCTTATAGAAATATTCCTTGATCATCCTTATCTAAAATATCCCACATACCCAGCAAGGGTACTCTATCCTTTTACCACATATGTGTGTGTGTATATTTGCACCCAGAGCACAACTGGAAAAAAAGTGTGTGTGTATACTGTGTGTGTATACACACACACATATGTATATACATATATATATACACACACATATATATGTATATGTATATACACACACACACACACACACTTTTTTTTTTTTCAATTGTGCTCTGGGTGCTAATTTACAAAGCAGACTTGTTTTACATTCAACAGTTCATGCACATTTGATAGCAAGGCCCCAATTACAATCCCCAACCATAAAAACTCTCCTTCCCTCTCCTCCCTGTGACTACCCCCTCCTTGTGCCCTTATCTATGCATTTCTGTCTATCCAGCTTTCCCTCTTTGTGAATGCTACCCCACTGATGTCTCATGGTTGACTTATTTAAGGGGTGCATCTCCCTAGGGTAGGTAGGTGTTCTGCATGTAGGTCATTCTATTGTTGGGCTAAGAACCAAACAATGGAAATAAGTCCATTCCTAGGCCTGAAGGATAACCCCGGGCCACAGTCTCAGGGGTTCTGACTAGTAATTCTGGTCATTTTTGTGTTTTTTAAATTTTGTTCCACATTTTTTCTCCCACTCTAACCAGGATCTCCAATTTTGATCCTTTTCTGGGTGGTTGGCATTGGTAGCTGGGCACCATTGGTCGTCAAGGCTGAAGTCCTTGTGGTCTATCATATCTTTGAACTAACTGTTTCCAAATTACTTTGATTTTCTTTGCTCTTCTTTGCTCCAGGCGAGAGGAGACCAATGGTTGTATCTTAAATGGCCATTAAAAAGCTTTTAAGACCCCAGTTACTTAACTTTTTTTTACCATAACACTTTTCTCTACCTAAAATTAATTATATTCATATTTTTATTTATTTTTGTTTGTTGCCTTCTTCTCCCATTAGAATACAAACTCTGTGAAGGAAAGGTCTTTGTTGTTTGTTGTGCTACTCTTACAGACATAGAAACAGGCTTTGAGAGGTCAAGTAACTTGTGTGAGGACACAAAATTAGTAAGTGGTAGAACTGTAACATCAATCCAGGTCTTCTGACTTGTTATCATGTACAGTCTGATTCCACTGCTTCACAAGGATCAAACTGCTATCCTGAGGATCCATGGATGCTACTACAGGTCTGTATGAAAACTGACAAACTTAAACATAATCACAGACAATATTTTAATCAGTAGACTTTTTTGTTCTTTGCAGTAATTTCAAATTTTCCTCAATTAAAATATATTACTTCTTTCTTTTCTTTAAACAATAAACATTCCTTATCTCAAAGCTTCTGAGGGTCAGGAATCTAGAAGATGTTAAATGGGTGATTTTGGATCAAGCTTCTCATGAAGTTATAGTCAAACTGTTGGCTGTGGCTGCAGTCATCTGAAGACTCAACTGGGATTGGAAAATCCATCTCTAAGGTAGCATTTGGCACAAAGCCTCAGCTTCTCAGGGCTGTTGACAGAAAATCTAATCCCTTTACCACCTGGGCCTCTGCACAGGGCTATCTGAGTGTCCTCATGTCACAGTAGCTGGCCTCCCTCAGCTTGAGCAACTCATGATAAAGCAAGCAGAAGCTACACTGTCCTTTATGATCTAGCCTCAGAAGTTACTCCCATCCTTTTGGCCAAATTCTACTGATCACACAGACCACAGCACCTAAGAGGAAGGGCACTACATAGGGTGCAATGCCAAAGGACAATCTGAGAAGGCTGGTGGAATGTGTGCATAGCTTTAAAGAATATGCAGAGTTCTTCTGGATAAGATTTTTTCTTCCTTTTTTTTTTTTTTAAATTGTGATTTGGGTGAAAGTTTACAAAGCAAACTCATTTTCCATATAGTAGTGCTTACACATTTTGTTTCATGACATTGACTGCAATCCCCCTCACAAAACAGCTCTCTTCCCAGTTCTTCCCTGTGGTTACCTTTTCCTAGTGTCTTCTTTCCTATGCATTTCTGCCCTCTAAGCTGTCTCCCTGTGAAAATACTGCCCTTCTGATCTCCCATGACTGACTGTTCTAAGGTGTGTACCTACCTGGTATAAATACTCACTTTATATGTGTCTACTGTTTGTCTAGAAGCCACAGGAGTGAGTTCAATTCCAAGCCCAAAGGGTGACTAGGGGCCACAGTCTTGAGGGTTTCACCAGTCTCTATCAGACCAGTAAGCCTAGTCTTTTTAATGATTTTGGGTTTTGTTCCACATTTTTCTCCCATTCTATCCAAGATCTCCTGTACTGTTCCCTTTCCAAGTAGCTGACAATGGTAGCCACGCACCATCTAGTTCTTCTGGTCTCAGGGTCAAGTAGGTTGAGGTTCGCACGGTCCACTAGTCCCTTGGACTAATTGTTGCCATGCATCTTTGGTTTTCTTCATTCTTCTTTGCTCGAGATGAGGAAAGACCAATTGATGCATCTAGATGGCCACTTGTAAGCTTTTGAGACCTCAGTTACTACTTACCAAAGTAGAATGTAGAACAGTGGTTTTGTACAGTATGTTATACATTGAGCTTGATGTCCCCTGCGACCATGGTCCCGAGGCCACAAGCCCAACAACTCACGCCCTCAGGGTGGTTGGTTGTGGCTAAGAAGTTATCATAACTTTGCTCCGTTAGTTCTATTCATATGAATACTCTTATGGTACACACAAGTAGGTATGTGGAAATATCATCTGCCAAACTTATATATGGTCATATTTCCTTTTGGCTAGACATACTTAATCATTCAGGTAGAAGGATCAGGTAAGTGTTTTGTTTTGTTTAAACAGAAATCCTATTTTTATCTATTTTTGTCTCATCTGTTCACATTTCAGTTTTTCAAAACAGAAATTTAGAAAATTTCTAACCTTCCCAGCTGAGAAATTTTGTAATCACTTTATTGAAATTAAGGACCTCTGGTGACATACAAGTTAAAGTATTCAGCTGCTAACCCAAATGTTAGTGGTTCAAATCCACCAGCCGCTTGCTCCACAGGAGAAAGATGAGGCAGTCTGCTCCCATGAAGATTTACAGCCTTGGAAACCCTATGAGGCAGTTCTACTCTGTCCCTAAAGGGTCACTATGACTAAGAATTGATTCAATGGCAATGGGTGGGTTTATTGAAATTTTAAAATGTATTACATTTGTAGTCAGAAAAACTATAATACATGTTATTTTTAAATCCTTATTTACCAGAGCCACTCTGGTCATGTGCTATTGTAGAAGATAAGCATTCTACTCCATATATTCATTTTTGTAAGCCATGTTTAATCTTTTTAAGTTGTCTATTTCTTCTCTCATGGAATTCTTTCCTCCCCTTTACATACTTTTTTATTTTCATTTTCATTATTTTTAAATATTCTCTTTTTTTTTAATGACAGGTCTCAGGAATCAAAAGTTTCCACAACCTTTTTAAATTCCCTTTGTTTTTGTAGATGCTGAGCACTGAGAACAGCAAGCAGATCTCAATATTTTCCTAAGCAATGTGACTAACATAGGAATATCTAATATTCTTATTATGGTTGGAAGAACTCTGAGGCTGGAAATTTCTCTTTCTAGAAGTAAAATCTCTAATATGATACATGAAAGCCTACTATCATCTTTTCAGGAAACAGCATTTCAGAGGTTATACTTTTATACCTGACAAGAGCCTCTGACTAACACATAAATGTTTTGTAGCACTTTTTTTTTTGCCCAGTTACATGTTCTGCAATAACTGTCAAGATAAAAATGTCCAGACCTATTATCATATTCTGCAACCCAGTCCACAGTTAATTGGATATTTAGACTTCTCCCTGATGGATTCTGGCCAAGACCAGCCCAGAAGTCTTTTTCCATTTAAGAGCATCCTTGGCCTGGTTCTGACCTCACTTCTGCTACGGAAAGGCTGAGACAGAGATAAGGAGAGATCAGTGGTTTAGAGAAATCTTGCTGTGACCAATCAAAGAAATAATAACAGGTCAAGAAAATTCAGTCACCTTATATAATGCAATAAAGACAATGCAGTCCAACTGGAGAAAATAGCCATATATACAAATAATTCTAATTCAAGGCAGGTTAAATGAACACCATTAGTAAAAT